GCTCTGGCCGCCAGGGAGAGCGGAGCCCCGGTCGGGCTCTCCGCCCTTCTCCCAGGGCTCCGGCCGCCAGTGGAGCCACAGCGGGCTCGCCGCCCTCCCCCCCGGCGCTCCGGCTGGTCAGGGAGAGCGGCCCGCGGCCGGGCTCAGCGCCCTCCCCTGCCGCACTCGGGGGGGCGGTGGGGGGGCGGTGGGAGGCTTTTTTGCCTTGGGCGCAAAAAAGCCAGAGCCGGCCCTGGTAATAGGACAGCTGGTGCACTCTTTAATAAAATAACAATATATAATAATAATACCTAGCTCTTATATAGTGCTTTCCATCAGTAGATCGCAAAGTGCTTTACAAAGAAGGTAAGTATCACTACCCGCAGTTTAGTTTCATCAGCTAGTCTTTTAATGTCCTAATTCTATATAGCCTAATTATGTCATACTATATACCAAGTTCTCAGTCCAATTAATGAAATCCCATCTTTAGCTTTTATCCTTGTTCAGTTCTTATTATTGAATCAGAGCACCCACCCAGAGTGTTTTGACATTATATCTTCTAAGGGTCAGGTTCTAGTAGTGACTTTTCAATCTAGTGATTCCAGCTTGCTCTGTCCTTTCCTTGATGTGAGTCCTACTTTATGTAAGGCATAAGGGATCTCTGACAAAATATGACTTTTTAGCTCCTATTGCAATTTAGAGTGCATTTTGCTCAGGTGTTTGACAGACATTGACTTTATACACCCAGAACTGAATGGCATCCATATTGGCCACAAAATCCATTTTTATCCACAACATTTACAGTGATGTGGACCTGTATGCCAATATACATTATGTAACTGGTGCCCTCTAAGATGTTATTTGTTTTCTTAGATTGAAACTATAGAACAATTTGCCCTGGATATCTGCAATTACTTCATTTCCTCATATTGTCATGTGGTGTACGTCAAGGCGTATATTCAAGAGACACCATGGCGGCGTGTAGAACAGGTATATAAAAATGCTAGTATAATGCAGTACATATATTCTGGATAATTGTTTCTCTCAGTTCATTTTTTAAAAGTTATACTACAGTGCACTGCAGTTTTACTTACATGTGTGTTTTTAATCTGTAGAATGGAGTTCCCCATGCCCATTCCTTTATCTTTGTTCCTGAAGGAATTCGCTTTTGTGAAGTTGAACAGTGTCAGGATGGTGAGTAAATAATTTATAATTTTCCAGCAGCATCATTACTTCTTCCTTAATGTGTCTATTGATTCAAAACAGACAGGTTTAGGGATAGTAGCAGGAGTTAAAGGGCTTAGGACACAGTCAAAGGTTCCTTGTAGCGCTAAAACAAAGAAAGTGGCACATAAAAAGTTTTTACTATGGATCTGATCCTGTGTCCTTGTTCACAGAATCATGGGTGAGCAAGTAATGTGGGATCCAGACTTCTATTTATATAGTTCTCCTAAACACATAATAATTACAATTGTTCACAAAGCACTAATACTTCATAAACTGACAGGACTTAATTGTCTTCTGAAAATAAGCTGCTTAAACTAATACACTGTAGTATAGCCTACAATTTGACTATTATTATTACACTAACAGTCAATATTCAGCCAAAGACAGAAAATTTAAGTCCAACTGCCTAGTTTGCATTAACACTGCAAAGCCCCATGGATAAGCCCTGGCTTTATTTTTAAAAAGATGCAATTTCAGCATTATAAATCAGGCCCAACTGTCAGAAGGACCTCAGCCTAACCTCTAAAATTGCACCCATACCTCTGTGCAAGCAATTTTTCATGTGTAAACATTCAAATGTGTGCATGCAAATGCTGTATTTCTTGCATAACCAAAACGTCCATTGACTTCAGTCAGAGTTTTGGAATGCTTAAGAAATGCAGGATTTAAGGCTGCATTTGCATATGTCAGTTAGGATATTGTGTGTCTGACTACTAATCTGAATGTATAAATTCCAGTTTATTGCTGTGACTGCCAACAAGAGTGCCAGTTAGAGCCAAATGTGTTGGTATTTTCGGTGATATGGGTGTATTTTAGGTGATATGAAGATGTAATGCTGGGAATTGGACTGAAATCACTATAGTGTAAAGCACAATGAGACTACAGTTTCTAGGCACTACTCTGATACAAATACTAACAACAGACTCCTTAACTACAGAACAACCACCACCAGATAGTAGCAACCCTTAATTGCTGATGACTGAGGCAGGATTCAAACTTGTAACCTAGAGATAAAAGGCTCTGTAGCCCATTACCAATCCTATGAAACATCCAGTCTCCTTCCTGTTTCACAGTTTTGTTAGACCTGGAAAGAAATTGGCCATGCAGCTACCAGGGGCTTTTCTTGCGGCCACAGCCTCCTGGGCAGTGATTGTGTAACCCACACGCCTCCTGGGTGTTCTGTCCGATCTAATGGCACTGAAACTACTGAGACTGAGAGAGAGAGAGAGAGAAATTAACGAGTTTGCTCTACAGCCTTAGCTAACAAGCATATGGCTTTTAGCTCATGCAGTAGAAGCTCATGCACTAAGGTCCAGAGGCCCCAGGTTCGATCCCACCTGCCGACAACCGGGGTCTGTTGGTATTACAAGTGGGGGCTCATCCAGGATTTTAACTGGAAGTCTCTGAAGCTCAGGACACGCTTCCTCAACTAGGGGAAGTATGTAACCCTCCTGAGTGTGGTGTTCTGTCCTATCTAGTGGCACCAAGCCCACTGGCGAGAGTAATAGTAATAGCATAAAATAGGATATTGATAAACATTGCATAGGAGCTCAGACATTATTGTAATGAGTTTAAGATGATAGATAATGTGAAAATCACTGAGATAGAATAAAAATAGACCTCATGATTAGAATAGGTGAGATATTATTTTTATACAAAAAATGTCAAATTTTAGTAAAACAAACAACCCTCCCAAACAATAACCAACCCCCCCCCCCGCCAAAAAAAAACCAACACAAAAACATATTTTTGTTTTTCTGCAAAAATGGTGCAACAAAATCTCAGTATTTTATGTGGAGCACAAACAGTTTTCATGAAAAATGTTGTTTGGTTGAAAACTCAATTATCTGTCAAAAACAGTTTTGATGGAAAACTTCCAACCATCCCCTACTCACAATGCCATTTTTACACAATCATTTTTCAGAGTGTAAGCACCCTTCAAAGACTATACCCCATTGCCATTGCCCTGAGCCATCCAGTCCCTACCAGCAGAAAGAAATTTATCCTTATCTGGTTTAGAAGAACAGACTCCCTTTTGGACCTGTAGCGTCTCAGTTTTGGAGACATCTTGGTGTAGTTTCAAGGTTGGTGTCGCATGCTTTACATATGTCATATTGCTATGTATGTGGGGCATGTGCTTCTCCAGGGCTTAAAAAAATGAAATACCTCTCAACTGTCACTAGTGATAATTGTTAAGTATCTTAGGGTATGTCTACACTACCCTCCGGATCGGCGGGCAGCGATTGATCCAGCGGGGATCGATTTATCGCGTCTAGTCTAGATGCAATAAATCAACCCCTGAGCGCTCTCCTGTTGACTCCTGTACAGACGCTCCCCGGGTTATGCAAACACGACTTACGCAAATCCGCACTTACAGAAAAAGTTTCGTAAGTTCCCTAAGCTTTTTTTTTCCCCGCACGGGTATACGTCCCCGACTTACGCAAAATTCAACTTACACCAGGCATTCCAGAATGGAATGCTTGTGTAAGTCAGGGAGCGTCTGTACTCCAGCACCGCGAGAGGTGCAGGCAGAGTCGATGGGGGAGCGGCAGCAGTCAACACACCAGACACCACGGTAAGTCAATCTAAGTACGTTGACTTCGTGAATAACGTAGCTGATGTTGCGTAACTTAGATTGATTTCCCCCCCCCCCAGTGTAGACCAGGGCTAAATGGAAAGCCTTATGCAGATCAACCATTCAAACCTGAGATCAAACAAACAACTAGCTTCTCTTGCTCAGAAAAATTTTAGTCCTATAGTGAAACAAAACATAATCAAAAGGATTAGACATCTGAAACATCCCAGGGTGGTCACAGACTCATAGACTTGAAGGCCAGAAGGGATGATCATGATAATCTAGTCTGACCTCCTGCAGGCCCATAGAACCTCACCCACCCACTCCTGTAGCAGACCCATAAACTCTGGCTGAGTTACTGAAGTCCTGAAATCATCAGTTAGATCCTGAGCATGCGGAGGCCTGGGAAAGAATTCTCTGTAGTAACTCAGAGCCCTCCCCTCTAGTGTCCCATATCTGGTCATTGGAGATATTTGCTAATAGCAGTTGCAGATGGGCCATATGCCATTGCAATGCCATCATAACTTCCACTCCCTATACTTGTGAAGTGCAGTCTTAAAACAAGTTAGGTTTTTTGCCCTCACTACACCGCTTGGAAAGCACTGACGGTTAGAAACCTTCATCAAATTTCAAACCTAAACTTGATCTTGTCCAATTTATATCCATTACACCAACATTGGCCCTTAACTTAAATAACTCATCTCCCTCCCTAGTGTTTATCCCTCTGATGTATTTATAAAGAGCAATCATATCTCCCTTCATCCTTTGTTTTGTTAGGCTAAACAAGCCAAACTCCTGAAGTTTCCTCTCATTCAAAAAATCTTCTCAAATTAAAAAGTCAAGAAATCTGGGTGGTATTGCGATAGGTATGATCTTCTTATTGACTTTAATGGGGCTTGGATCAGGAGCGTGTCTCTCCTTAGAGGAAGGGCTTAGCACCTTTCAGGATCAAATGCTAACTTCTAAAGTTTAGAAGTTGGATATCAGCTACCTAAGTGTGTGTAGAAAATAATTTTTAACAATACCTAAGTATCACACAAATACATACAATTGCAGCTTGGGGTGACTGCTGTATGGCTATGGAACTGACCTCTCCCCTGCCAAAGAGTTCCCGTCTTCCTGCATGAATAGGAGCTCACCTTTTCTTTCTGATATTTTTGGATCACAGGCTGTCCACTTATTTCTTCTGGAATTAAAGATCTTAAACTTAAGAAAACAACACAGTCTGGCTTTGAAGGCTTCCACAGGGACAAATACACCACACTGCCTGAGACGACCGACAGGATTTTAAGTGCAGAACTATTCTGCAAGTGGTGCTATGGCGAGTGCCAAGATATTGACTTTGACTGTGTATGGTACGTACTGAATTGAATTATGTCTGCTGGCAAATGTATTATTCTAGACTCCCTCTAAAGAAACAAACCAACCCTCCACGTGCAGTAGGCACTGCACAGACCGTGCCCAAAAAGCAACCACAGTTTGCTTTTTGTCACAATTAAAACTGCCTTATTTAAATTCTCTGGGCCTGATTTTCACAGCTGCTGAGCACCCACAGCTCCCATTGACTTCAGCTGAAGTTGTGAGTGTTCAAGTGTTTCTGAAAATAAGGCTCGGAGTGGTAGATTGTCAGTTGGTGTGAACTGGCGTAGCTCCAATGTGGAGTTGTGTCAATTTACACCAGCTGATGATCTGGACTGAGCAGTTTGTATTTGAATCCAGAGCACCTCTGCAAAATATGAAGTTGCATCAAATTTGTTAAATACCTTAAATAAAATGCTTATTTCCAGAATTGTAAGATTGGGGGTAGGGAGGCTGGGGAGAAATTGGGGGAAGTGGCAGGGGAGCGGGCTTAGTATAAACCTTGTGTTATATCTGGTGTTAGGAAGATGCAGAAAGCTACAATAATAACCAAACAAAATATTAGAGAGAAAAAAAGACAAGCATAACAGCAATTAATAAAATGCTTCATCGGTAATTTTAGATCTTTACTTTCATACAATATTTTTAAGGGATATTGTTCACGAGAGTGTCCTTGAGGCATTTTCTGGGCCACCTGACTGTGGGGAATACTCACCCTCTTACCAGAAGACTGTCAATGATATTCAGATGCTCATCCTGGCAAGAGTTCCTCAGGTATCTTTTTCACCATTTAATATTTAGCTCATAGAATAAATACGGTAGTGCGGTCCACTGAGAAGCTCAGGCTGAGCCCATGTGAGTTATATGGTAATTGGTCTAGATAAACTAAGTAAAACATGAAACTGCCTGAAGACGCAGCTACCAGTTTTGAAAACTGAGAATGCAGACAAAATACCAACCTGGTGAGGTGCAGAGCACTTCCTGTCAAGATAATGGGAGTGAAGGGCACTCAGCACTTCACAGGAGTAGGCTCAGAAAGAAAAGGAAAAAATGCTACAGAATAATGTTCAAGTGTTTCTAAAATGGGTCTATTTTATCCTCTCCGCTCCCCTTCCTTTTGTGATCGTTCAATTGCTTTTCTTTACAACTAATGAAAAATTTATTAGATTGTCATGTTTGAAAGTAGCGTGACCAATTGTGGACACCATTTTTATGGTTTCAGATAGAGGAGACTGAAGTCATCTTGAACAACATTCACTATTTTGTCACAGACTTGAAGAAACTGGGATTGACCAATGAAAAGGAGGTGAGGAGATGTTTAAAATATTAAACGTACAGAATCATCTAAAAAACTCAATCCACTGCAACAGGCACAGTACCCAGATAATGTCTGTACAATAGAATTAAGGGATCAATCATCACAATATGAGGCTAAGGGTGGGGAAAGGGAAGTCTCTCTGTCCCTGTCCCATAAAGTTCAATCTCTTCTCACTTATACTGCTGTAAAGCCATTGAGGTCAGCAAGCGAATTCTTGACCCCAGTGTCACTCATTTGTACTGCTCTGGTCTTGCAAAGGGGTTATAAAAACTAGTTTAACTGGCTTCCTATGCATTCCCTCTGGTGATATAGGGCCAGTGTATTGACTGGTGAAGGAAAGGGGGTGTGGTCAGAGCACTGCAGTATTAACGAATATGTCTCAAAATGCAGTTATAAACAAGGAATCTTGACTGAGTCGGTCTGTTTCTGGTGGAGTCCCACAGATTTCGGTTCTTGGCCTTACACTATTTAACATTTTTATCAATGACTTGGAAGAAAACATAAAATCACCACTGATAGTTTCCAGATGATTCAAAAATTGGGGGAATTGCAAATAATGAAGAGGACAGAATACTAATTCAGAATGATCTGGATCGCTTGGTAAACTGGGTGCAAGCAAACAATATTCATTTTAATACAACTAAACATAAATGTATACATCTAGGAACAAATAATGTAGGACATATTTACAGGATGGGGGATTCCTGAGAAGCAATGTCTCTGAAAAAGATTTGGTGGTTGTGGTGGATAATCAGCTGAACATGAGCTCTCAGTGCGACACTGTGGCCAAAAGAGCTAATGCAAGCCTGGGATGCCTAAACAAGGGAATCTTGAGTAGTAGAGAGGTTATATTTAATAGGCAGCAGGTTTAAAACAAACAAAAGGAAGTATTTCTTCACACAATGCACAGTCAACCTGTGGAACTCTTTGCCAGAGAATATTGTGAAGGCCAAGACTAACAAAGGGTTCAAAAAAGAATTAGATAAATTCATGGAGGATAGGTCCATCAATGTCTATTAGCCAGGATAGGCAGGGGTGGTGTCCCTAACCTCTGTTTGCCAGAAGCTGGGAATGGGCGACAGGAGATGGATCACTTGATGATTACCTGTTCTGTTCATTCCCTCTGAAGCACCTGGCATTGGCCACCATTGGAAGACAGGATATTGGACTAGATGGACCTTTGGTCTGAGGCAGTATGGCCATTCTTATGTTCTTACATTACCTCTGTGTTTGGCAGTGGTGTGACCACTGCTGGAATGCTGTGTCCAGTTCTAGTGCCCACAATTAAAGAAGGATGATGATAAATTGGGAAGGGTTCCTAAAAGAGCCGTGAGAATTATTAAAGGATTAGAAAACATGCCTTAAAGAGAGAGGCGATGTCTACACATACAGGACTGCAGTGGTGCAACTGCGCTGCTGCAGCGCGTCTGGTGAAGATGCTCTGTGCCAAAGGGAGAGAGCTCTCCCATCAGCATACTAAAACCTCCATGAACAGCAGAAATGATGTCGGCATGGCTTATTCACACCCCTGAGCAACATAAATTATGCCGACATAAGCTGTAGTGTAGACATACCCATGGACTCAAAGAGCTCAATCTATTTATCTTAACAAAGACAAAGTTAAGTGGTGACTTGATTACAGTCTACAAGTATTTACATAGGAAACAAATATTTAATAGTGGGCTCTTCAGTCTAGCAGAGAAAGGTACAACACAACACAACCCCGTGGCTAGAAGTTGAAACTAGACAAATTCAGACTGGAAATAAGGTATAAATTTATAACAGTGAGGGTAATTAACCACAGGAACAATTTACCAAGGGTCATGGTGGATTCTCCATTGCTGACAATTGTTAAATCAAGATTGGATGTTTTTCGAAAGTATCTGCTCTAGGAATTATTTTGGGGAAGTGCTACGGCCTGTGTTATACAGGAGGTCAGACTATCACAATGATCCCTTCTTGTCTTGGTATCTATGAATTTTTTCCAGAACTCCCCAGCTGCCAGAACACCCCTCTGATATTTTGTTGCAGCTGGGAACAAGTTAGAACTGGGCACAACTCACGAATTTTGTGTGGGGCAAGGATGGAAAGTGGTGTAAAACATTTATACACCTTTCCCCCAGTGGCTCTTGTGCTGCCCAGGTCCAGCTGAGGAGCCGACCTGATGAAGTTACACTGATGCAAACTGGGTATAAGTGAGAAGATAATCAGGCTATTTGATTTTATGATTGCCACTTTTGATAGAGGAATGGATTAGTCTTCCCTTGTTCTCTGTTCTCCTCAGGTCTGAGTCCCCTTCCCTCACTACTCTTATCCTGGCATCCTCTAAATAGCCAGGATAGGTCTGCTCCTGCTCCCATTTAAGTCCATAGCAAATGTCCCAATTGACTTCAATAACGTCAGGAATAGTTCCTGTGGGTTTGATCTTATGATGGGTTGAGTGCCCTCAGGTTCGAATGAATATTGATTTTAGTTCTATGATACCTCTGAAGCTAACGGACACTCCAGCTGGAGAAGAGTTATTTATGTGTATGTCATTTATGTTCAGGTTCTGATCCCAGTGGACACTCCCTATGGTTCTTGTACATGCGTACTCCGTAGGAAGAAGTGCTTAGAAGAGCAAGCCTAAAATACAAGAGATGAGAAGCAATGTCAGTGAATTGGATGGATGTTTCAACAGGGAACAAACTAAACATTTGCGCTCCATTCACACATATAAGATGAATTTACCATGTGGCTTTCGTTTCAGAATGTATCCATTCTATTCATTGATCTTTTTGTATATTGCCTGATCTGGGCCTCCACAAATTACAGAGATTGGGATTTTGAAAGGAGCCTAAGGAATTCAGATTTCCAAATCCCATTGAATCTCCATAGGATTTGTGTACATAATTCTCTTGGGCTACTTTGAAAATCCCAGCAAGAAATATTAAAATCAGTTCATTAGAAAAGAACTATTTTCAGGCGTATGATGAAAGTTTCAGTTAACCAGTTAATGTCTCCAATGTGCTTTACTCATTTAAAATCCTAAATAGGTTCTATAAATTATTATTTATTAATGTTTGTGCATTAATGCATTGTATTAACAAAATTAATGTATAATCATGAGAGCAAATCTTTAGGTGGTGTAAACTGGCATGACTTCAGTGGATTACACTAATTTACACAGCCGAGGGTCTGGTTCAATATTGTAAATTTAATAAGGCAGAATTATTACTTGTATTTCCAATGCAAATTAAAATGGACCCAGCTTTCTTCAAGAAGCAAATGATGAAATAAAACAAAATTCTACCTACCTATATATTATATTTTCTTTACAATATTAATAGTACAGATGTGGACTAATTTCTATGTAAGTATTCCTATTACACAGTTGCCACATTATTGCTAATCAAATAAACAGCTGTGGGGAGGGGATTATGCAGCTGTATAATTACTTTTGTGTTAATCACTGAAATGTTTAAAGGTATTGGGCTATCTCTGTGGGGTTCTTGAAATCTTCTTCTTTAATTTCATTTGTTGGTACTTTTGAGCAGGCAGGAGGCAGGAGTCAATCCAAGAAGTGAACTATTGCTTTTTTGTGGAAAAAATAGGCATATTGTTTAAAATATTTAGTTACTCCAGGACATAGCTTTGAGCAAAGATATTAAATAGCAAAATCAGCTAATCTTATTCCTACATGTTCACAACTTGCAACTAACACATGCACAACATAAATCTTGCTCAACTCTAGTCATCTTGTAAGTGCTACTTTTAGTTTCCAAGGACAGAATTTTAAAAGCAATTTAATGACAGGAGCTTAAATTCAGTGGGATTTCTGCCTAAATCTCTTAGGCATGCTTGAAAATCTCACCCCAAAAGACGTTGCGCATTATACTTCTCATTCAATACATTTAGACTTATTTTTCCCTACTGGATCTGATCATGTGCTTTGGGTAGCAATAAAAATTGGGGAACACATCCTGAATTGGGTGCTTGGGAAACTGAGGTTGCTTGCAACGTAGGAGCATCTCTCTCTCTCTCTTTTGCACAAAAGAATTCAGCTGCTTGCCTTAAAATCACATGAAATTGGAGGACAGCCATTGCTCATCACCATATGTCACCTCCTTAAAGACAATAGGACTAATTACACCAAGGGATGAATTTGTTCCAGATGGGCTGTTATTTGCCTGAACTGCTCACTAGTTGACCTGACTAGTTTGGTCTGTAGTACTTTTAACTCTGTGTTGGGACATTCCTTTCTTCTTTCTGTGAAGTTTATTGTATTACACTTGAGAGTTTCAGATCTTTACTATTCTTCTGCATTATAATTTCATGACTGCCTGGGCTTTTAGTGTATCTATGTAACTTCGAATGGGAAAATAAAATGCAAAGTTAAAAAAAAGCTGATTATTGGCCATTTATTCAATGAGAGATGAGGCCATATGGATTTCATTCAAATGAATACATACTAGATAATATTACTAACATTAATTTTAGACCATTCCCAGAAAAGATGATCCACCTCTCCTATTTGAGAAAAAAAGCTGAGGGATCCTCCTGAACATTTCATTACCACCTTGTCCTAGCTTAAACAAGTCATTTATTGTCTGTGGACAGCCTGCTCATTGCTGTTAGACTAACTTAATGGAAGAAATAACGCAGGAAGAAAACAACAAAATCCCTATTCAGACTTCCTATTGATTCTGAACACACATCATTACTCATGCCATACAGTGTCTCTAGAACTCTGTAGCTGTGCAGATTAGCTCAGATTTGTAAAGGTATTTAAGCAGTGCTCTGCTCATAGCTGCAAGGCCTAAGAGCCAGATTTTTCAAGGTATTTGGATGCCTATCGCTCACTGATTTCAATGGCAGTTAAGCACCTACATACTAGGGCTGTTGATTAATCGCAGTTAACTCATGCGATTAACTAAAAAAAAATTGCAATTAAAAAAATTAATCACAATTAATCGCACTGTTAAATAATATACATTTATTAAATTTGAAATAAATTGACATTTATTAAATATTTTTGGATGTTTTTATACATTTTCAAATATATTGATTTCAATTATAACAGAATACAAAGTGTACAGTGCTCACTTTATTTTTTTTATTACAAATCTATGCATGTAAAAATGACAAACAAAAGAATTACTCTTTTTCAATTCACCTCATACAAGTACTGTAGTGCAATCTCTATCATGAAAGTGGAATTTACAAATGTAAGGTTTTTTTGGTTACATAACTGCACTCAAAAACAAAACAAAGTAAAACTTTAGAGCCTACAAGTCCACTCAGTCCTACTTCTTGTTCAATCACTAAGAAAAACAAGTTTACATCTATAGTTACACTTGCATCTAAGTTTACATCTGCCCACTTCTTAATTACAATGTCCCTTGAAAGTGATTGCATGGCACTGTTGTAGATGGTGTTGCAAGATATTTAAATGCCAGATGCACTAAAGATTCATATGGCTCTTCATGCTTCGGCCATCGTTCCAGAGGACATGCTTCCATGCTGATGACGCTCGTTAAAAAAAATAATGTATTAATTAAATTTGTGACTGAACTCCTTGTGGGAGAATTATATGTCTCCTGCTCTGTTTTGACCAGCATTCTGCCACATATTTCATGTCATAGCAGTCTCGGATGATGACCCAGCACATGTTCATTTTAAGAACGCTCACTGCAAATTTGACAAAATGCAAAGAAGATACCAATGTGAAATTTCTAAAGATAGCTATAGCACTTGACCCAAGATTTAAGAGTCTGAAGTGCCTTCCAAAATCTGAGAGGGATGAGGTGTGGCACATGCTTTCAGAAGTCTTAAAAGAACAACACTCCGATGTGGAAACTAAGGAACCCAACCATCAAAAGAGAAAATCAACCTTCTGCTGGTGGCTTCTGACTCAGATGATGAAAATGAACATGCGTTGGTCTACACTGCTTTGGATTGTTATTGAGCAGAACCCATCATCAGCATGGACACGTCCTCTGGAATGGTGGTTGAAGCTCGAGGGGTTATATGAATCTTTAGCGCATCTGGCATGTAAATATCTTGTGACACCGGCTACAACAGTGCCATGCAAATGCCTATTCTCACTTTCAGATGACATTGTAAACTAGAAGCAGGCAGCATGATCTTCTGCTAATGTAAACAAACTTGTTTGTCTGAGCAACTGGCTGAACAAGAAGTAGGATTGAGTGGACTTGTAGGCTCTAAAGTTTTACATTGTTTTGTTTTTGAATGCAGGGTTTTTTTGTACATAATTCTACATTTGTAAGTTCAACTTTCATGATAAAAGGATTACACTGCAGTACTTGTATTAGGTGAATTGAAAAAATACTATTTTTTGTTTTTCACAATGCAAATATTTGTAATCAAAAATAAATATAAAGTGAGCACTGTACACTTTGTATTCTGTTTTGTAATTAAAATCAATATATTTGAAAGTGTAGAAAACATCCACAAATATTTAAATAAATGGTATTCTATTATTAACAGTGCGTTTAATTGCGATAAATTTTTTAAATTGCTTGACAGCCCTACTAAATACCTTTAAAAATCCATTCTTAGACCTTGCCCTGAGGAGCAGAGAAAAATCTGGGCCTAAGTGACTTAGAAGACTAAGTTTCATTTTTAAAAGTGACTGAGACACATGGGATCCCAAGTCTCACTGAAAAGCAAACTTGGAGTTAGCCGTCTAAATCACTTAGGCTTTGTGACACTGAGCAGAGTAACACCCGAATACATTTACAAATCTGGACCTTTGTGTTAGGCGGGCAACAGACTGATGAGTAGAAAAGTGCCAAACATCTAACAAAAACTCATGAGAGAAGAGGTGTTATCCCTGATCTCCTGACCAAATTCTATGGATCATTACATTCTACCTACATAAACTCCTACACAGTTTTAACTGGGAAAGTGCACAGGAGCAGGCCCATCATTTATAAAGCTCTTTCAGAACCTTTTAGATGAAAGGTGAAATGTAAGGTAAATGTAAATCACTACCATTAAAAATAGGTTGCCTAGCACTGTTCCTCTCTGCCAATTACAAAAATGGTGGAATGTGAAGTCTTCCACCAAAATTCCCTCCAAAATAATTTCCTTGGCTGGGGTTTGGACCTTGCATGTTTGGTTCTATCCACCCATGTAGTTCACTAGTGACCTATGGAGTCTTGCAGACTGGAGCCCAGAACCTATAATTAAAACCTAAGGGGAGTTTCACACATGCACACAATGGTTCCTACCATTTTGGTTTCCATTCCTGTAGCCCCCAGCATCTGGCCAGTCCTAATAGCTGGCCAGGAAGGTCTCACTACAAACCCCATCAACCACTGTTCAACCTCCAAGTACAACCAACTTTATATAAAGAAGTGTGTGTACAGCCAGATTTTGTTAACTGGGCTAACAAAGATGAAAGAGATGAAATCCATTTTCAAATAAGTACAATTGCTGTCTGTAAATTGGCCATATCACAATCAGAATTCTATACTCTACATAGCTAACTATGAGGCCAGGAAAATAAAATATAACATTTTACCTTTTTAATATCATTGGACAAGTTTATTGCAGCTTGTTAGATCTTTAAGGAAAAAACCTGTTCACTTCCAAACTCCTTTTTATCTTTGAACATTTGAATAGCACTGTATCCAAAGTTCTGAGTTCAGAGTCATTTTCCACATGAAGCAAAATAAAAGTAAAATAAAAGCAATATCCTGCCCTCATATTTTTGTCTAAATGCCAGAAATATGATCGTAAGATGAACTGAGCTGCTCTATGATTTCCAATTTCCAATAAAACTACAAAGTCCCAGTCTCACCATGGGACACCTAACAGACCAGACCTGCTCCTGAGGAGAGAAACTGAATCACACCAGACCCGTAGGATATGAGCCTACCTAGACTGGATGGACCACACCTAAAGATAGCAGCTGGGCTAAATCAGAAAAGGGGAGACAAAGCAGCATGAAGCAGAGCAGATCCTCATAGAAGGGAGGAGCCAGTCCTCTCTAAATCCTTGGGGTTTCTTTACCTGTTGGTCCAAAGCCTGTCTTTGTAATCATGCGCTGGTAAACAGCAGATCTAGGCAAGGGCTAACACATCTTAATTTCTTGCAGAAATACCTGCATTGCTCGGAGAGCAACTGTGCTGTGCTGTGTGGGAAGCAGACGCCAGTGCCTT